CCGGCTGCCGCCCCAGCAGCCACAGGACCCTCCCTCCGCTCTGCGCCTTCCTCCGGACCAGCACCGTGCCAGGACCGCAGGCAGCGAGGGCCCTGGCAGCTCTGCGGGGGCTGCCGCGCGGCAGGGAAGGGGGAAAGGGAGGGAAGGGGTCGAGCGGGGGGGTGTGTGTCTGTGCGCGCGGGTGTGTGTGTGTGCACAACATACTGACTGAGGGCCTCTCTCCTCTCCTGGCGGGGCCGCAGGGGGAGAAGGAAGGGGCTACGTGAGCCTGGGGGGCCTTAGGGGCAGGGGGAGACCCCAGGGCAAGTGCAATGCATTATCAGAGAGGTTCATTACCTGGTCTTCCTGCTGGCGTTGGCAGCACAGTATCATCTGCAAATATGGAAGCTGTTGCAGTACCAGGATATGTAAAATAAAGGGACAAACTATGACAATAGAAATCCACGGTTAGACCTGAAAGCTACGGCGGGGTCGTGGCTGTGGCAAGTAACCCCTTCGCTGCTGGCCTGCGGAGCCGCCACTCCGAGGAAGGGGGAGGTCAGGGCGTACCAGGCATGTCTGCGTGAAGGGGCACTACCCGACCGTACCTGGTACGGCCCGGCAGCGAGGGGGCTGTGCCGAGTACCCCCCAGCGGAGCGCACCCCGGGCCTTCCTCACCTCGTCCTCTTATCGGCCCTGTGTGTATGTGCAGGTGTGAGCGTGTGCGTGTCACCGCGTGTCCGCGCGTGTCCGCCGCAGGGCGGGAGGGAGGGAGGGAGAGGGGGGCCGGGGGGGGAGCGAGAGCCCTAGGAGATACCCCAGCAAGGGCCGGAGGGCCGGGGGGGTCGCTTACCTGCCCGTCCTGCTGCAGGTGGTGGTGGAGGATCTGCGAGTGGGGCTGCTGATGCGGGGTCAGGATGTGCATGAAAGGGGTGGGGGGATACGCCGCCGCCGTCGCCGGGTTGATGGGGCCGCCGCTGCCCAACGCCGAAGGCAGGTTGAAGGAGGCTGCCGGGGTTCCAGTGTGAAATCCCTGCTTCTCGAAGGATTGCTGAGGAGGAGACACCAACAGCGGGGTAAGGGCTGGGAGCAGGGCGGCGCTCCCCTGCCCCTGGCTGGCAGCGCGTCCCTTCCCACGGGCCTGGGAGTCAGCGTGTGGTGCAGAGAACGGACGGAATCTCTGCCCATGGCTCTTTCTGGGCTTGGAATTGCTCTAAGTTGGGAAAGGCCGAGCATTTCCCTTCTTCCTGGCTGGCTGCTCCAAGGGGAAGAGACCTCATTGCCCAGGGGGGCTGTCTTGGAGCTGGGCTTCCGCTCCCCAGCAAAGTGGCACCTTCCCAGAGCACGCACCAGACACTAACCTGAGTTTTGGAGTAGACAGAGCCCGAGATGTCTGGCACTCCTGTATTACTGGATGTCACAGATACACCTGGGGAGAAGGAAAGGCAAGCGCATTAGGCGGCAGCCGCCGGTTCAGCGGGAGCTACTGCCGCTAACGCCAGCATCGGGTGGTGGAGAGCTCTAGTGGCCCCGCAGCCAGGTAAGGTTTGGGGACAGACATCGTCCTAGGGAGCAGGCTCTTGGCAAGGTCAGGCTGCAAAGTGTCCGTACAAGTGTAAGTTCTTTTGCTCTGGATAAGAGCAGTTTCTGAATGCCTCCAGAAACAAATGTAGGGGCCTGCTGTCACCCAGAGACACGCACGTTCTTGAAGAGGCCAGAAAATAGCAGCTCTGAGAAGAGCCGGGGGATGCAGCAGACAGCCAAGGAAACAAACTCGCAGCGTGACACGGTAGCAAGACCAGCCTGAGAGCTCCTCGGCTGTAAAACAGGCAATTGCACGTAAAGGCGAGTCAGCCGCGGGCTGGGACGGTCGGGGCGACGACTGGCAACGCTGGCACACAGCCGGCATTTGGTGCTGGCCGTTTCTAAAAGGTGGCGGTACAGAGCGAAGCCTCAGCAATCATTTAAGGCTCAGAAAGTGTTGAAATGAAAGAGGTTTGAAAGACTCGGTACCAGGCGATCTGGTACAGAGCTGAAGTGTCTTTGCAATGAGAAAATAGTGTCTTGAAGGGCTCTAATGTAGCAAAAAAAGGCAAAACAGGAATTTAAAGGCTGGACGATGGAGCCAAACGCAGGCTCTTTATAATCAGCCAGACATTAACCAGCGAAACCCGGTACCGAGACAAGTGACAGGTTCACGACCTTCTTGCATCTTTGAATCAAGGACACTTCTCTAGAAAGTGTGCATCTGCCAAACGCAGGAGTCAAGCAAGTTCCCAGGCACAAATGTGGAATAATTATTGTTCTATTCATCACATACAGGCAGAAAAAACGAACAAACAAAAACCAAAACCCAAACAATTCAGCAGCCTTAAGCTCTGTGCCACGAGTCCAAGGCCCCGGCCACCCGACTGCTGGGCACAAAGGAGGGCCTGAAGTGCTCTGTCCTCCTCAAACCTGCTCCAGACCTGGATGCGGAGCAAGCCGCCAGTGAATTCTCCTTTCCAAGGAGAATCAAATGACCTGCGAGCTGCACCATGGCCATTTTCCTCCTCCCTTATTGCTGGAGACAGTGAGACAGCAGTTAACACGGCCAGGGAGATTGTGAACAAGCCCTGCCACGGTCAGTAACTGCTGCTGAAAAAGCTGCTGTCAGGTCTCTTACCAGTGCTGTAGCCATGAGAGCCATAGCCGCTGGGCTGCTGAAAAGGGGTTGCTGATGCGTTGACGCTGACATTCACACCATGCTGCTTGGAAGAGGTAGGAGCAACCTACAGAAAGGAGAGAAGCAGAGTGAGGAGAAGCTTCGCTGCGTCGCCCTCCTGCCCGAATTCCAGGCTCTGCCGCTGGGAAACTCACAGGGAACACGGCGGGCCCGTATTGGAAGGTGCTGGGGAGCCCTGGTACCCCTGTGTAGTATGGCAGACTGGTGTAACTGTAGCCAGGAGGCAGCGCTGGGTTCAGGAACGTCTGCTGCGTGGTGTGGTGAGTCTGGGTCTGGCTCTGCTGAGGCTGGGCCAAAGTCGTTGCAGGAGCGGGGGAAGAGGCATCACCTCGGCCAAATTTTGTTAAGTCACCTGGAATGCAGGAAATGAGAGGAGACTGAAGAACGGACGTGTCAAATCCTGGCCCATTCCAGCTCAGCCCAAAGGCGACCCAGCCTTTTCATAGAATCATAGAATCGTTAAGGTTGGAAAAGACCCTTAAGATCATCAAGTCCAACCGTTAAC